CAACGGTCATTGACACCGCCGAAAGATCGTCGCAAATAAACGCTGGAGTTGTGCATGATAGTTTGACAGTGGTTCATTGTGGGTAATAATTAACGATGTGCTGATTGTACGAACTTCATAAAATTGTATCAAGTTAGGAAAGAAATACACACGTCCACATACATTTTATTGGTGTCCATAGACAATATCATTAATTTGCACTACGTATAACTGGAGCGTAATATTTAAAAGCGTCGAATGTTGGGAAATTTATGCGCTAATGAAAAAAATCAAATACCAGATAATAGTTGTTTATTTTATCTAAATTATGTCAAAATTTTATAGTATTCCAAGCTACAGCAGATAGTCGTTTTTATGAGGTATTTCAACTCGGCGTAACGGTACTTAGCAGACCGTAGTAGTAAATATTTACGAGCAGACGTGATGCGTACATTTTTGCCGAGGATTTTGTAACATTTCTAATTCATGACAGCAACGTTTTGATAACAGCTAAACTCAGGATAATTGTCTAGATATAGAAATCTTGTTAATTTTTTTTCCTAGGATGTTCTCGTTCTATATTCTGCGATATTCCCAACATTTGTGAATTTATTGTATTGCATTGACAAAAATATTCATCCGGCCCGTTTCCACACAATTTGAATCATACCCGGCCCGCGGTCAAAAAAGTTTGGTGACCCCTGCTTTAGACAACCAGAAAGGACATATTAATTCACGCAATGTTGAAGTTGGGTACCACACACATGGGTGTAGTTTCTTACCTCAATAACTTCTAGTTAACTTAGCGTAACAATTTTTGCATATATCTCCTCACCTGACTTCGTCATCCAAAAATTACGCCACTGCAACGTCACAATCACGAAATAATGCTTGCCCAATAATAGCGACGATTACTAGTAATGACACCTATGGATGTAGTTTCGTACCTCAATTACTTCTAGTTAACTTAGCGTAACAATTTTGCATATAATATTCCTGACCCTCACCTGACTTCGTCATCAAAAAATTACGCCAATGCGACTTCACAATAACGAAATAGACTTGCCTAATAATAGCGACCATAATGCAATCGTGATAAATACGCCTGTGTGTCCGCTATGGGTGTAGTTTCGTACCTCAATAACTTCTATTAGGCTTAGCGTAACAATTTTTGTATATAACATTCCTGACCCTCACCGACTTCGTCATCCAAAAATTACGTCACGCAACTTCACAATAACGAAATGAGCTTGCCCAATAATAGCGACGTTATTCGTAATGCACTATGGATGTAGTTTCTTACCTCAATAACTTCTAGTTAACTTAGCGTAACAATTTTTGCATATAATATTCCTGACCCTGCCCTGACTTCGTCATCCGAAAATTCATCAATGCGAATTCACAATAACGAAATAGAGCTTGCCTAATAATAGCGACCATAATGCAATCGTGATAAATACGCCTGTGTGTCCGCTATGGGTGTAGTTTCGTACCTCAATAATTATTGTTAGGCTTAGCGTAACATTTTTGTATATATGATTCCTGACCCTCACCCGACTTCGTCATCAAAAATTACGTCACTGCAACGTCACAATAACGAAATAGAGCTTGCCCAATAATAGCGACGATATTCGTAATGACACCTATGGATGTAGTTTTGTACCTCAATTACTATAGTTAACTTAGCGTAACAATTTTTGCATATAATATTCCTGACCCTGCCCTGACTTCGTCATCCAAAAATTATCAATGCGAATTCACAATAACGAAATAGAGCTTGCCTAATAATAGCGACCATAATGCAATCGTGATAAATACGCCTGTGTGTCCGCTATGGGTGTAGTTTCGTACCTCAATAATTATTGTTAGGCTTAGCGTAACAGTTTTTGTATATATGATTCCTGACCCTCACCCGACTTCGTCATCAAAAATTACGTCACTGCAACGTCACAATAACGAAATAGAGCTTGCCCAATAATAGCGACGATATTCGTAATGACACCTATGGATGTAGTTTTGTACCTCAATTACTATAGTTAACTTAGCGTACAATTTTCGCATATAATATTCCTGACCCTCACCTGACTTCGTCATCAAAAAATTACGTCAATGCGACTTCACAATAACGAAAGAGAACTTGCCTAATATAGCGACAATAAAGAACTCGTAATAATTACGCCTGTGTGTACGCTATGGGTGTAGTTTCTTACCACAATAACTTCTACTTAACTTAGCGTAACAATTTTTGCATATATATTCCTGACCCTGCCTGACTTCATCATCCAAAAATTACGTCACTGCACTTCACAATCAAGAAATAGAGCTTGTCCAATATAGCGACAATAATAACCCCTTATTAATGACGCCCGTGTGTATACGCTATGGTGTAGTTTCGTACACCAATAACTTCTAGTAGGTTTAGCATAAGAATTTTTGCATATATATTCCTGACCCCACCTGACTTCGCATCAAAAATTACGTCAATGCGACGTCACAGTAACAAAATAGAGCTGATCACCCGTAATGGCGTCTGCGACTACGTTAACAAACTCAGTGAGGGCAGCGGCCTCCCTACCACACACACATAAGGAAGGAATTGTTATTTTATGTCCAGCCATAGATCATGTATTGGGTTATAATATATTAATATGGCGTTACACGATATCACTCTAAGCAGGGCTTTAGACAAGCAGAAACGGACATATTAATTTACGTTCACATTATATGGGTGTATTTTGTATTGTGCCACCATTTATCAGTGAGGTTTATATTTTAATTTGTTTTTTGTAAACTATACAATTTGGATAGGACTTTGGATGGACTTTGGATAATGAGAAACAGGCATATTAATTTACGGTCCCCCAATGAGTGTAGTGCCACATATACAAAGGCAAATATTTTACGGATCTTGACATTCTATCCCTATAGTCGGATTCGGAAGACTTTTGGCACAGGGTACTCAGATTCTCAAAAAGTACAGATTCAGATTCAGATAATTTATTTCCATCATGCAAGAATCAACACAAAAATTAAAGCACGAAAAAATGACAAACGTGTATAATGACAATCGTAAAAATGTAATTATACACATAAGAATTCATACACGTGAGAGATTCATAGCAATAGATAAGGAGTCGCAAAAGACTGTGACAGTCATCAAGTCAGCGACACCTGTGGGCTAAAGTTTAAGAGGGAATGACAAAAAAATTATACAAATTTAATCAATCAATATTAACAGAAAAACAAAATCACAACATATCACCAGAGTAATAATACACGCGACAGCGCCCTCATGGGGTTCAACTGTGCGTTCATGGACCGTAACAAGAAGTTTTAGAGGGAATTACAGGAAAATTATATAAATTTAATCAATCAAAATTAGCAGAAAAACAAATTATCACCAGAGTAATAATACACGCGACAGCTCCCTCGTGGGGTTCAACTGTGCGTTCATGGACCGTAACAAGAAATGAATGAAGCTCGTTGCCAACAGCGATCAAAAGCTGGTAGTTGTTGCCAAAGTGTCTATAGTTTATAGTCACTTTGGTTGTAGCCTACTACAATGAAAAATGAATCAATCTCCGCGATTACATGCTTGTCTTACACTTGCACAGTGTGTCCCACATTCGAGACGATTGTCTTTCTTCCCGAACATAAAAAAAGTTGACTTTTCAGCGAATAACGATTTATCTGTCTAGTAAAATTTAGTTGTGTTCAACGTAACTCGAAATTGTATCGACTTACGGCAAAA